GGGGGAGGAGGACGACGACGACGACAAATAGGAGGAAGAGGGGGAGGGGAGGAGGAGGAGGAGGAGGAAGATGATAATGATGATAAACCCCAGCATTAAAAAACAACAACAATGAAATAGAATTAAATAAACACGAAAACGAAAAATAATAATAGATAATAGACTGCATTTGAAAAGCGGAAATCCCCTCTCAACAGCAAGTTCTATGCGCTTCACAACCTATCGTATTACCCCAGCAGACCTGAGAGCATTCTGAAGCAAAATCAACTTCCTGGGAAGTATACAGTGCGAGCGGCCATTTATAGGCGCTAAAACATTAACATACTGACAAGATCTTTCGTTGTCTCTGGCCGAATACCCATTCCCAGCTGTGTGAAGTGAGGACTATTCGTGTAAAGTGCCTTTTACCCTATCTGTACGCCGTGAGGTCAATTTGTACCCCCTGGGTTATATTCTTCACTTTTTAGAATACTTCTAGTACAAAGATCTCTTTGAAACTTTCAGTATTTCTCAAAAAATCATTTTGACCGACTGCTCTGCCAATCGTACGGATCGGATTAGCGAGTAAATTTCCTCTTTGGAAAGTGATGGCACAGAGTTCCTCACGTCGTATGGATACGATAGTAAAACCCGACGTACGGATTGCGTTAGTATAAACTAACGAAATGTGTTCTTGTCTCTCCTCCACATGTCGGCGCCTCAGGTTCTGCGTGGGTGACCGCTTCTACCTCGTCGACAACAAAATCCTGTGTGAGTTTGACTACGAGGAGCGGATGATGTTCGCCAACCTAGGAGGCACCATGACACCCAACGCTCCGGGCTCCGGACAGAACGGTCTACCCAACGGTATCGGGCCCTGCAGCGGCTCCGTCACTGGACCAGGAAATGGAGGAGGGGGAGGAGGAGGAGGCGGAGGAGGTGGAAGTACAGCAGGAGGAGGAGGAGCAGGAGGGAACGCCGGAGGCGGAATCACAGCGACTGCAGGCGGAGGAGGAGGTGGAAGTGGCGGCCTGGGTGGTTTTGGTTATGGTAGCGGCTACAATGCCCTGACTCAAATCAAAAGGCAGACTCAGAGTTTGAGTGATGACGTCTCCAGCGGTTATGGAAGCCCCTCGCCCAGCTCCTTATGACAATCCGTTCATGCCCGTCTTGTTAAGTAACTGTTTTGTTCTCCTCGGTTTCATGAATGTCCATTGTGTCGAGATGTCTTTTGGTGTACGTATTTTTCAACCGTCTATTCGCTTTGATCATAATTTCTTTTTTTTTTCATTTTTTATTCTTTCTTGGTTTGTTTTCTTTTTGTTTGGCGAAGATTTTTATTAAGCCTGTTTCATTCTATTTCATTTACTGAAGGATCCGTATGTTTGTCAATATTTATGAGGAAACGTTTACATCCGAAATTGTTTATTCACCAATAAGCAACAAAGAGGAAATTACATCGCATAATCGATGTCAATACTGGTGGAATGGGTACAGATAGAGGTACTGCGCGACGTGCAACACTAATGTGTACTTTTTTCATTTTTACACGTCAAAAGCAAAGTTACATAAATATTCCTCATGAAACATTACATGTAAGATGTACTCTTAAAATCATTTTCCTTTTCATTTATAGGGCGAATTCTGACGCTGATATTAGCGGAAATAATCTTCGACGAAACGTTTACCCGCATAAATTGGCAAAGAAACACTCTTTACCGATTGGTTATGACTGTGAATGATGAAGAGTGCTCCTAGTCTGTGAATAGATTGTCAAATTGGATAAAGACATGCTTAATAAAAAGCGAAGCCGCTTTAAATCAACTGTGAAAAGAATAATGTGTCTGAAAAGGTGACGTCTGAGAAATATTTGACTGTGATGAGACTGATAGTAATTATGTATCATCTTTCATATCTGCAGTTCCATGGTTTTATTTGTTTGTTTGATTGTTTATTTGTTTGTTTTCCTCTTTTGTCCCCTTTCAGCTCAAATATACAGTTATTGTTATTTTTCAAACGTGTAAAGTAGTGGTGTGTCTGTGGCCTTTCGAGTCCTCTCAGAGTCTCATTTCGGATGTAGGCGGGGGAGATAATTATTTTTCTTTTTGTTTTGTTTGGGGAGGGGGGGGAATGTTTTTGGCTTTTTTTAGGGTGGTTTGTTTGTTTGTTTTGTTTTTGTTTTGTTTTTCGTGGAGGGGGGGTGTGAGTGTGTTTTTAGTGTTTTGTTTTTGGAAGGGAGACCATTTGTAGTGGTTATAATACCCTTTCTAGATTCGATTCAGATTGAGTTTTTATTCCATGGGTTTTTTAGACCTCTCTGAAATTGGCTTAGTCAATTCGAAACAAAATGGAAGAGAGCTAAAATACGAAATGTTTGTTTTATCTAAATGTCAAGCCTAAACGACATCTATGAGAAGGACAGAATGGTTGAGGTTTTTATTGTGCCAACAATCTGTAAGGTTAAAACAAAATACAGTAATTCATTTAGCTATTTCTAACTGGGGG